AGAAAATGTATATCCACTCCCCCATATGCCTTTATGGTGTAGTTCTTAATTAGTTATGCACACTGACAGCTTTACCTTACCTTTCCCTTACACGAACTATTAGCCAGGGATAGCTCAGTCGAAATAATGAAGGATTACGTGCTGGACGATGGAGGTTTTATTTTCTCCCACGTCCGGAGATTCTCTGGAGCCAGCGTGCTACTGAAGAGAGTGAGGCGGGTTCCTTCCCGGAAGCTAAGTGACGGAAGCAGGGCGCAGACTACTCAGTTCCACCCAGCCCGTGTTAAGAAACATGGTAACTGAGCAAAGGGTTAACTTTACAACACACAGAACCGTAATTCTATCGCCTGCTTCTCTCAGTCAGCAAAATGGATGCGAACTGGATGATACGAGTTCGATCCATGGCATCACCATTGCCACGTCCAGGTCTCCTTTGGTCCCCGCCTCTAGCAACTTCGGCGTAAAGTTATTCGCCTCTGTGGCCCAGTGGTCAGAGTTCCTGCCGACAGATCCAGAGGCCCGGCGCTACCAGATTTTCTGAGAAGTAGTGGGTCTGGAACGGGGTCCACTCAGCCTCGTGAGGATAACTGAGGAGCTATTTTAAGGAAATAGCGGCTCCGGTCTAGAAAACCGAGATTAACGACCGTGGAGATCCGTTGCGCTGACCACGTGACACCCTCTATCCGCAGAAATTGGCACTAACTTCGCCGACAAGCGGCGGTCGCTCGGTCGGTATAGTTCGCTTGCGGACTACAGGTCACAGAGTTTGTTTTTAGTGATCTACAACGAGTGGAGCGTTACCTCCACATGCATCAATGGTGTGTTGTCTAGGCACACGGGAAAGACTGTTCGGGCCTTCTTCAGTGCAATGTACTGTACTAGGTCATAAACTCCTGATTATTTCAAAGTCTAAATGCAATCTGCCAGAAAACAAACAGCGTCCCATGGTCTGCTGTAAGAGGCTAGGATGATATTTGCGTTTCGAGTCTGCAGGAGCCGAGAAATCAATTAACTTAAGTAAAAGTCACAGGCAGTAGTAGTTAATTAACCCACTTATCAGGCAAGTGAGTCTGCTTCGCGTCATTCTTCATTCAGTGTCTGAAACGTTCTCAACAAAACGCAAAAATGCGTCGCCTATCACATTACAAAGTCTCCATTCAACTACCACAGACGCCACTGGCAGTACAACTGCACCAAAACTATACAAACTTTGGCAGTTCCATCCACCGGCAAAACATCAATACAAAACCAACACCAACAACTGGCCGCGCCATAGCTCCGGCGGTTAGTCGCTGCCTTTCCACCGCGGCGGCCCGAGTTCGATCCCAGGGTCTGGTCAAGTGGGATTTGTGGTGGACAAAGTGGCGCTGGGCCAGGTTTTCTCCGAGTACTTCGGTTTCCCCTGCCAATCTTCATTCCACCAATTGCTCCACAATCACTCTCACCTATCATCTGGGGCTGGTACAATAGGCCAGAAGTGGACGCAGTACAAGGGACTTAGTCCCACCTCACTAGCAATAAAGAAAACACCAACAACAAACCTAGACAGGATATCTACTGAAAAAAAAAACCGGTATTGTAGAATTCAGTGGCCGCGCAGTCTAAGGCATGGATGTCTGCGTGTGCGTTTATCCTGTGTTTGTGTGTAGACAGCGGCTTTGCGATGGGCTGATCACTTGTCCAAGGAGTCCTATCGTCTGCGTAAAAGAGATTACGAAACTGAAGAAGAGGCCAGGGCCCCACAAAAGGCTGTAGAGCCACTGAAGAATGAATTTTACAGAACTGTAATTTTACCTGTGGTTCTATATAGGTGTGAAACTTGGTCGCTGACATTAAGGGAGGAAAATAGACTGAGGGTGTTTGAGAACAAGGTGCTGAGAATATTTGGACCGTAGAGACATGAAGTGACAGAAGATTGGTGAAAACTGCATAAAGAGGAGCTTCATAACTTGTATTCTTCGCCAAGTAAAATTAGAATGATCAAGTCACGGATGAGATGGACAAGGCATATAGTACGCATGGCGACGAAGAATGCATACAGAATTTTGGTGGGGAAGACAGAAGGGAGGAGGCAACTATGAAGACGTAGACGCGGTGGGAAGATAATACTAAAATAGATTTCAGAGAAACAGAATAGGGCGGTATGGATTAGAATGATCTGGCTTAGGATAGTTACCAGTGGAGTGCTCTAGTGAATAGGGTAATTAACCTTCAGCTTCCATAAAATATTGCAAAATTCTTGAGTAGCTGAGCGACTGGCGGCTTCTCAAGAAGGACTCAGCTCCATGATGTATGTAGATTAGTTTAGTTACCTTTCCATTCTAATTTAATTTTAAATTTATGCTTCCCTCATTGACGAATTTATGCCTTGGATCAGCTAACACACGACATACCTGAGAATATCCTCTTTTTTTTCTTTCTGTGGAGCTACAGCCCCAATTTGGGCCTAGGCCTACCTCATGAAACTCTCCGTTTCACTTCGGTTTACTAGATCTTACACATTTGGTAGGACTCCTTGGGCGAGTGATCAGGTTGTCGCAAGGCCTCTACCTGTAGACAAACACAGAAAAACGCACGCAAACATCCATGCCCTGAGTGGGATTCGAACCCACGATCGCGGCTTCCGAGCGAGCGAAGACAGTGCATGCCTTAGACCGCTCGGCTACCGTGACCGGCTGAGAATATCCTTACATGGCCGAAATATGTTGCATAACGAAACACTGAATCCATAACGTGGCAGTATGCCAACAGCCATGCAGCCATGGAAACACTTCGAAAAGTTCATTCGTTAAATTGAATCTAAATACTAAATTATCGATCGATGCAACATGGCACTTAAATTTAATACTATGTGCCTATTATCTTCGACTTATCGATCTATTCGCATACAACTGCTGCGAAAGAGCTTTTCATTAAATTTGATATTGGTGAGTTTTGCTGAATTTTGCTCACCCCTTTTTTTTTGGGGGGGGGGTTACAATAAATAACGGACATTTTACACAAAAACTTTACATGCGTTTCTGCGAGCAACTCCAGCATAAATTGCTAGATATTTTTCATATAGAAAAATACTTTGAAAAAAATCGTACAGAAAAAATGAAATGCGTGTTATGCCCAATAACCTTTTCCCGCGCGTTTTATAGTTTTCAAGTAAATCAGATGAAATGATTTTCAGCTGTATATCAGGCCATGAAGACGGGAAGAATGTATTTAATGCTTTTTTAGCATTAGTATTAGTATTAGAGGGGGTGGGTTTCCCCATGCACCACGACTAGTAGTCTATTGTACGTCCGCCTTTAATTTCTACTGTCGCCATACCCTACCGGTACTGGTGCTTGCTATCAGCCCCGCTCAGCCAGCGAGTTCGTCCCCTCTACTGGCAAATGGTACCCGATACTTTCCCCATCTACCGGAAACTACTTGGGCGGGAAACTTTTTACCTAAGTAAGATTTGAGGCTTTCACGGCGGTGACTATGAAGAAAGCAGTCTTCTGGGATTTGGCACCGTGTATATGTGGTGTTAACCGACGTTTCGGAGGAACGTATCGCCCCCATCTTCAGGGTTGAAGAAAAAGTTTAAGAAATCTGCAAGCGACAACACCGTGAGAAACGGTAAAGAAGACTGCTTTCTTTTTACCTAATTTTGCTCAGAGGTCTCCTACAGACATGAGGATCTTTTACGTGCCGTAAATCTACGACACGGGACCCACGGCTTAAAGTCCCTCCCGGAGGACTTGTTCCCTGAATTTTTCCGCGTACCTTGAGTCATGAGGTGGGAACGTTATCCCTAGACTACGGAGGCCGCTTATTTAATGCTTGCTAAAGTGGCAAACGATTGATGTGGCCTGTTCCTCGACCTTCAATACTATTACAGCACGCAACTGAAATCGATAGACAGCTTTGATCCAACGCGCTTCCGTGCTGTCGTGACAATCCGTAACACAATTATGCGACATGACCCTCCAGACACAGGCCAGCAGCCATTCCTGTTACTTCACACGATTCTCAGTATATACCAAACTGTGGTTCAAAAAAAGCTGGAGATTCGCGATAGGTTATCTCAGAGATCAACTGACTGTCACTATACCCGAAGGTTTCACACAGGCCGTTAGATACTAACCTTGGGCGAGTTCTAGTCACCCACTATCATCACAATCTATTTATCTAAGCTCCATCTTAATGTGTGCGGTAGCGTAGTTGCTTGCGGCACTATGCTACAAGTCGGAAGGTCACGGGTTCGAGTCCCGATGAAGTGGATTTCTCTTTTCAATTGGCCTAATCCTTCCGGTCACACTATGGCCCTAGGGTCGACTCAGCCTCTAACAGAAATGAGTACCAGGATTCTTCCTGGGGGTAAAGGGCAGCCGGCGCGTAAGGCTGACAACCTCACCGCCATCTGCGAGCCGACTGTCTAGAGAAAATGTGGGAGTCTCGACGTCTCACAACCCTATGGGCCTCCACGGCCTGTTGCAGGGATAGCTTACATTAAAGAATGATCCATCTACCCGATGACATTCCTGTTTAATGACTAACTCCAGTTCTAACACGGCTTATAAGGAAGACCAACATTAGCACACAATCCTGAGCTAGTTCTGTTCATCTCACCTCCTCTCAACACTTCTGCTCAAACTTTAAATTGGGCACCTTCCTTGAGATTTCCCCACCAACATTCTGTACGCATTACTTACTTCACTACCCCGGCAATAATACCTCATCTGTCTTATAAAAAAACATGATGTTCCTCTTTCTGTAACATTCGCGCTTCATCTTACCGCGGTCCAGAGCACTGGTTCCCACCTTCAATTCACTTTATTCTCTAACGGAGGAGCTGGGACAGCTCAGTCGGTGTAGCGACTAGGCAATGGAGGAATGGGGGTCAGAGTTCGAACAGGGACAAAACTGTTCTCCATAACGTCAGAGACCGGCTCTGGAGCGCACCCAGCCTCCTACACAATGGGCACCAGGGGTAAAGCGGCATGAGCGTGAAGCGGATCACTCACCTCCATCCAGTGCCAAGGTCAAGAACGGTGAATCTATATCTCCAATTCTCCATGCGTCTTCATGGCGTGGTGCTGAAATAATTAGGCACAGGAATAACTTTAGTTTCTGTCCTTTTCGAAGAGCACTGCTACTGTTTCGCAGTCATATGACTGGATGACGTGGCGTGTTATGGGCAATACTGCAAAAAGTGTCTCAGTGACACAATGAAATCCTTTTGGCAGACACTAACAGACAAATGGTTGAGTGGACATCGGATAGGTCGTTATAGCAGCTCACAAAATTACATGCTTCAAGGACATGTAACAGCTCACCCTACCCACCATGCAAGCTCTGTGTTTATAGTGCTGCATTGCCAGCATTACTGCGCAAACAAAGAGGCTATTCCGTTGCAACTACGCAAAATCACCACAAGTAAACATAACCTGAATGAATTATTGGGTTGCAGTTTTTGACACAATAAGGCCGAACCTTGAGCTACATTTCGCAGCCAGTGTGTAGATGTTCACATTAACTGGATGTAAATCCGTAGAAGTGTATATTTTTACATACAGAGTAAATAATAACTCAAAATGCATAGATATATGTTTAATTTATTAAAACGGTAATAACAGATATACCCTAAATGTATGGTTATACTGACAAATATGTGAAGAGTCCAGTGGTCAAACAATTTCATGGATATTATTAAAAATGAAAATATTACTGCTGGTTGAAATGAGAAAACACGCGAAACGTTTAATTCCAAAGAAGCGGTATGGGCTTCGCTGCTAGTGTAGCAACAATATACGATTTCGCTCTTGACGCATGGAACATCGTGACGGATCCTGTAGGTTGGCACCAGTGCTGGTCCGCACTCTATGGTAAACAGAAAAACTTGTATCCCTGTTGGGAATCGAACCTTGATCATCCAGCCAGTAACCAGTCACTATGCTGACACAACTATAGACGCTATTTGGTATTGGAGGGTAAAAAGTTTTCCCTATGTTTGATTAATAATCATGTCATTAAGAAGCATAAGGAAATTAAAGTATAGCTCCACCACTTTTGACCTCGGCACTCGGAGGTGTCTGATTCACTCCCCTGCCGCTTTACCCCTAGGGAAAAAGCCCACGGTACCGTTCGATGGGACGCTGGGTGGGCCCCAGAACCGGCCTGGACTCTCTTCTGCCATGAATTGAGGCCTATTTCCCCAGCCGTCCTGGCCGTAGGCCATCGCTATACAGACTGAGCTATTCGACCCTCCTTAATATTTATACTGGGGTTCTTATTCTACTTAAACAAAGAAATGAAAGTTCCGATTGGATACAATTATAACACAAACTGGTAAAACAAATAATGTATGCAACCCATAAACTGAAGAAAACCCCTGATTTGTGATGAAATTTCAACTTTTGCAATGAAATCAATCGGTTAATAACAGAGCAGCAGGCGTAACGACATTCATTATGTTATCCTCTTAAGGCCTGACGTTCAATACACTGATGAGGATATTACTGTCTTTCAGTACGTCCACTGAGGAAAAAACTATCACAATGACGTCGTACTAATTCGATTCATTCTCGCAAACAGCGAAGTCTGGCCACTGCGTAAGTTGCTACCAATGTGCTATATAAATAGACAGTTAATCACTCAGAGCATAATGGGGAGCTTCATAACTTATACTCTTCTCGAAGTATAATTAGAATGTTCAAGTCAAGGAGGATGAGCTTGGCAAGGCATGTAGCACGAATTGAGGGAGAAGTGGAATGCATATAGGATATTGGTGGGAAAGCCAGAAGGAAAGAGGTCACTGGGAAGACCAAGGCGTAGGTGGGTGAACAATATTAAAATGGATCTTAGAGAGACAGGATAGGATGGGATGGAGTGGATTGATCTGGCTCAGGATAGGGACCAGTGGCGGGCTCTTGTGAACACGGTAATGAACCTTCGGGTTCCATAAAATGCTGGGAAGTTCTCGAGTAGCTACAGAGTTGGCGGCTCCTCAAGAAGGGCTCAGCTCCATGAGTAAGTAAGTACTCAATCAGAGGGCGCCCAGAATTAATAATTACAATTCACACAATAATATACCGATGAAATCGAAACTTTGAGAGTACATACTTCGGTGGATATGACGATAACTGAGTTCCGGACGACGCCGAAATTGGTTCCCAACAGGTACAGACAATAGGCCTAGGCGATACTCCACGTTCCCGATGTAACCAGATGGCTGGAAGGACTGCAACAATTGCAGAAATGGAGCGAACCGGGCAGGCAGGCCGGCATCGAGTCGGTATTGCAAAATACAAAATGTTTCCGGGTTTTGTATTCATTTGTATATTATCGCGTGATTTACACTTACTGATTCTGGACCTTCTCCACGTGAATAATTCTGTAAAATGTCGTGATATTGGCAAAAGAATCCGTTGCGTGCAGAAAAAGCATTAGCGACTCCGTTTAATTACGAATGCGAGTTAACTCGCAAAGTAAAATATGGATACCGTTATATAACACAGACGTATTATCCGCAACTTCTATGTTTACATGCTGAAATTGGTACCTGGTGTCAGATAAACACAACATGACGTCATATGTGCACCGTGTGACAGCCTTCCCAGATCACGTGGGGGCATCGATCCGGTACGGTAGGCTGAACTCGTACCTACTGTTTCCCCTTTACGGGAAACGCACGCCTTTACGACTTCCTTCCTAAGCCCTTGCTGATAACAAATACGGCCATCGGTTCCTTCAATTACATTGAAAATTTATTCCAAGCTTTATACTCCCATCAATACCACGCATCACTGCTATAAACACTAACACCAAATGCTGTTTCTTTAGATCAACACACTTTAACTTAACTGGGGCCTTCACGGTGGTGCAAATTCACGGTCTTCGAGCCTATGAAACAGTGCTGTCTACTTGATCTGTACCAACATTTCGATGGGACATACTACCTCCATAAGCAGGATAGACCGTATACCGGTAGAGATCTGCATGTCAGGAAGTAAAACGGCGAAGTTGTCCCTGGTAAAGGTAAAAGGTAAAGTTGTTCCTGCGCTTAACCAAGTAAGCATTACGTCACGTAGGCATATGGGGCGGTGAATGAATAGATCCACTGTGCTTAATAATTACGCACTACGCCATCATGTATGGGGATCCAAATTTCATTCGGGGCTTTCCAACATATTTAACGATATTTCATGAATTCAATCAGATCTTTCGAACATATCTACCGACAACTCATGCATACCATTGCTAGACCGGGTTAAAGGTACAAAAGAAAACTATATTCCTGGTAATAAAGCAATCCATGGCCAGCCATTATTGGTGGTTAAGTACGTAACGACTTCAGAGGCATTCAAAACACTATGTTAAACTCCGGCAACTCGATATCTTCCTAACCATAAAATATTACAATGCCAGCATAAATAAACTGGGCTAAGGAAGATTTAAATTTCCACTGACAATACACAACCAGTTTCTTTTGAAAGTTCATCCATATTCATCACTTATCATGAAAGAAAAAGAAGTAACATTCACGTACTCACCGTTCAAGGACCAAATATGAGATGGCAGAGAATGAGCCGTATAAACCCTTCCAAGGCTGATGTTTGCTGCTAAAGGACTGTCCAAGACATGGTCTTCTGGTGAACTGCTCTCAGTTTCTGGGGATTCGGATATGTCATATGCTCCAACATTAGAGTTCGGTATTCCTATTGCTTCATGACTTGAATGACTATCTGGTACACTGGATAGAGAACGAGCTCTTTGCCTGTCACTAGACATTGTACCTGGAATTGCACGCAGAAGGCTAAATCCTGTACCTCCTGCAACAACATCCGAGCTGCTGCTCGTTGAAAAAGTTCGAGCTCGAGGACTTGTTCCTCCACCATTTGCAGTACTTGCTTTAGCACCCATTAGACTTAAATAATTTGAATTATTTATGAACTGCGAATTTTATGTATTACATGTGTTTAGTGCAAGAAGCTCGATGAAAATAACACCAAATCATATCACTAAACCGTCGACAATACAACCCCCCAGGAACAAACAGCCATATTGCGATTGACTACACCAGAGACATCTGGGACGTCTAGCGTGGTATCGAACTACCCAGTTTACCGATAAACAAATGACAAACAGAAGGCAACATGGTATTATTTGCGTTCATTGCCAGTAAGGTGCATGTGAGTGAGATGTTTCATAACTGAAGTAAAGTAATATAATTAAACGCATCAAAAATTAACTTGAATTAAGGATATATATACAAATAAACAATGAAATAAAGCATCAGGAATTAAATGCAAATCATGAGGTTATATTAAAATAATCAGAAATATTTCCATTATAACACTTCATTGCAAAATAGCCTATGTAATGCGCCTGATATCCGAAAAAAAAGAATATTGCCATGCCAATACCAATATAGGTGAAGAGAACCTCCACATGTTTCCAAGGCATGGTGCCTAAAGGACTTTTAAACTAATTGAAGTAAACTTCAATTTTTTCACAGCACTATAATGCAAAATGTGGATCTATACATCCACTCCCCATACTCCTTCATGGCATAGTGCTTAATTGTTTAAGCACCGGGACAACTTTACCTTACCTTATTGTAACATAAGAGGCAGAAGATTATGATATTGATGCTAATATATTTGAATATTTGACCATGACTGGCTTTCAATAACCTAAAAATATTTTTAAACTGAGTTCTGTAAGTATACCTACAAAATTTTGAAAGCTTCAACAAATTATTCTTTAGAATCAAAGATATCAACAGGTTTCACAGAGTTGACATATAATTTTACAATAAGAAAATTAAATCCTAACAAACATATTTGTCTTGTAAAACTAGTCATCCCATTGCAGAAGTTCACATGAACATCATATTGGTATTACTTAAAAAGGTAGTTGTCCCTGTTCTTAATTAGATAAACACTATGCCATGAAGGTGAGTGGTCAGCTTCATGCCCCTGTCACTTCACCCCCTCCAGGAAAGAAACTTCCATACCTATTGGATAGGAAGCTGAGTGGGCCCTAGAGCCCATCTGGACGCTGTAGAGAAGAGAAAACTCTTTCACTGCCAGGAATCAAACCCACGCCATTCAGCCTGTAGTCCATCACTATACCAACTGAACTATCCACTGTGATAAATTACAGAATGCAGAGATAAGGTGACTTGAAATTGCGTGGAAACATTTCATTAAAATTGTATGTTGTTAGGCAGAGTGGCATTCAAAATGCACATGGACAACATAAAAAACCCATATTTCCTTGATTAGGCTAACAATGCTTTATCCGGACAGTTCTGTACAAACTGTTGTAAAATGTGTAGCTTTTGCTGTGTAACTTTTAACAATGAAACCGTGCATATAAGAGAAAGGAACCTGTTACTGATTGAAAAGAAGGTAGAGTAACCTGGTGTACTGGAATAAGGTAACAGGATTAGCTGTTTCAGTCACTACTAGGTTTGTGTTATCAAATGTATACTGAATATTACATCACATTCCAATTTTTAATCTTTCAAATACAAGGATTAGTTTATTCAAAACCTCAATCTAGACTCCCAGTTAATCCAGAGTCCATACATTTAGCACATCAAAATCAGCACCAAATTGGAAACAGAAATAGTGCTTAAGGTAAAGTTATTCCTGTGCTTAAATAATTAACCACAACACCATGAAGATACGTAGGGGAGTAGAGACATTTCACCAGTCTTATTCTCAACACTAAATGTAGTGAGTCTTCAGTTTCATACCCCTGGGGATATACTCCCTGGTACCCGTTGTATAGGTAGTTAAGTGAACCCATAGCCAGTATGAACACTATGGACAAGAGAAAATCCCTATGAGGAATCAAACCCCAGTTCCTAGGTTGTCAGACATATGCCCTGGAAAAATGAATATATTGTGGCATGTAGACCCATTGCTAGGAAACAACCACGAAATAAGCAACCATATAACTGTTGTCACTAAGTAATGGCTCAGCAAACAACGGTCGTTGCTAGGTAACGGCTGAGAAGTGACCATGTGGGTACCCCAACAGACACGAATGCAAGAACTGCATAGCAACAGAGGAATGGTGTTTCATGTGTTGGACATGCTGAGATCTTATAAGCAGGACAAGTTTGTAAGGAGTTGGTGAGTTAGTCAGTCATAGTTTGTTGGTTTGTGAGTAAGTCAGTGAATTAACCATTGGGGTTCAGTTGTTGTGATATGATGGTAGTTTAGGCCAGGAGCATTTTGGGGACCCAGAGGAAGCAGAACATCCCTGCTGAAAGCTACTACAAAGATACAGCTAGTGAAGACTGTAACAGACTGGGAAGACCTAGTGTGTTGTGTAGGGATTTGAGAAGTATAGTAACAAGCTGTATAAATGTGCAATAAATTGGATTACAAATCCAAACTCCATCTGTAGTCACACACTAAAACCGTGACAATATATTTAAAAACTACTCAAATTCCATTACCATTACCTCACATACCGAAGAACCAGGTGGCAGGCTCCAAGGAGGTTAAAAATGTAAATGGAATACCATGGTTCACAATTAATGACACAACTTCCTGCTCAGCAACCAGATGACAAGTTTCAAGGATAATATTGAAAAATCAGGATATCAGCCAGGATTTGACAGCAGAAATAAGAGTATTAAGTATGCCTTGATATGCGCGCGTTACACATGTATGACAGATCTTCAAGAGCATCAAAAATGAAGATGTCAAATAGACAACTATTGGCAAAATCAAGGAAAAACAAACAACAGTTGATGAAAGAGTGAAAATGGATACAAGAGAAGGTCATGGAGGGAGAAAAAAGGACAGAGAAGCCTGCCATAAAATTATCCACCCTTGTGGAAATGTGAGGATAACGAGAATATTTTGCTTTAACATCCTTCCTTTCAGAAAATAGATGTGTGATTCAGTCATTCTGACAATTTTAACCAGCTTCCCTTATTTTGATAAAATGGAAGTATGCTTATGAGGTTACCTTGCTGTTTGTGTGCCTGTGTATCCCCCCCCCCCAAAACAACTTTTGAATTCCTAAACCAATCTTTATTAAACTTGGTGTGTATATCATGGCACCTGATCCCATTTCAACAACGTACATCATAAATCCCTCCCATAAGTTTGTGTCTGTATGAGTATTCCACTAAGCAGTGGTTCAGTAAATATGTTCCCATGGTAACAAATATGCATAACAATAGAAGAATTGTTGGATGCATCATATTCCATATGGTCTTTGTTGTACAAAAGGGGAATTTGTGGATCTGTATATCACCCTATCATTGATAGGCAATAGTTTGGTAAACACATTCCCATGACAACAATGGACTGCTGGAGGCATCGTTTTCTATGCAGTCCATGTCATGTCAAATGAAGGTAGGCAAGCCTTCTCAAAACTTCCTGTTACTAGTGCATTCAGTACATAAGATAAAATGTTAGAATATGACAGAGGCAATGGACACGGGCATATTTCTGAACTATTTGAAAAAATCAGACTGGACAAAACTGCTAGAAACATCAGGATATCTAATATCCAATCTTTCATGGCACTGTCTCAGTTTCTGAAGTTATATAAATCATGGAAGAATGACAGTCACAAATCTGGAGTGACCTGACAGGAAACGAACAGACAACAGAGCACATGAAGAAAGCCGTGAAAGCCTCAAATCTTACAACAGAGCACATCTTAAGGTACTGTACTGAAATTTTTGTGTTAAAAAATGGGAGGGGGGGGGGCACATGAAAACCGGTTAGGGCTCAAACTACACATTCCTGTAAGTTTCTTCATATAAAACTTTAGAGGTGATTAGGAAAAATTATGGAATGAAAGTTAAACCATTTTAAAGAATTAACACATTTGCTCCCACATCCGACCAGTGGGCAGATAGATGTTCCTGTACGTAGATTATTATATCTGACTTATGTTAGGAAGCATCGAGTACAAACAGATTCCTGTAATTGTGTAAGAGTACAGTGTTTCTGGATTTTTCTGGTCAATGAATGTATTAAAAGTACCCTTACATTTAAAGACCCTAGGCTGGGCGTTTAAATTGTCTACTGAAAGGCTTGTAGTGAACATGTTAAGAAATAAAACACTTTTCTGATATTTGCAATAGCAACAACAATCTGCAATTTATTTGTCTTAGTCATTTTTAATAAACTACAAATAACAAAAACAAAACAACATTGCAGTAACGATCAGTCTAAGTTTACATACAACTACTGTTCACTGTGCTATAGTATAGTGAAATTTCTGCCCTGGAAACACAGGATATCTGCTCCCAAAGCCAGGAGGAGGAGCAGTGACATTCCAAACAACTGTAGCTCACTACAATTCACTAGAATGGTACTGCATAATTACATGTTGGCTGTACTATAAACTGCTTCGATGGTAGAGCTTATAAACCCATATAACCACAACACACTCAGTCTGAGGTACATGTATCTATTTATGTAATTTACCAGGTCCATGTCACTCAACACACACACACACATACAATACTATGAACCAAGTTCAATGGGGAAAAGTTCCACATGTTGTGACAGTAATACGCATCATATGGAAACCATAAATATTGTCCTAGTGTTCCAGCACCCATCATTAAGGCATACAAGTGTGAGGAAGAAAACATCCCAGGATACTTCATTCCATTTTCAAAGTTAAGCAATTAACCCTTACTCACCCAATGTCACATAACTGAGTCTGCATAAGTCCAGCTAGAAAGGTTTTTTTCAATACTAATACTGTTATCCCCAAAATATGGGCACCAGACATGTAAAGGTAAGAGATTTAAAATTCCCTATTCCTGAAAGTAAACTGTTACCCTCCGAACTAAAACATGATTGAAAGATTTAAAAAAACTATTCTCAGACACTTAAGGTTAAGTGCTGAATGCCATGCAAACATTCCTTAAGCCCACATTCTCAGCAGAGTTTAGAAGGTGGCACTGGACAAATACCTACATTTTCACTTCAGCTGTTCTATTTACCCAACAAAGGTGATATTAGTAATAGATGTACAAGAGGCTGTGTAGGTACAAGAACTCTTTTAAGATGTGGTGGTGGTAATGGTGGGGACAAAAACCCCNTATATATATATATATATATATATATAGGCGGATAATGACTAACAACTTAGAAATGATGCAGAAGCAAGTGGTTATGGCCCACTTTAAGGTACTATCATGCCATTTGCTTGTAGACCCTCAACCAGGATAGTCCTTATCCCACACCTGGGCACCTCCCAATTGCAAGTCAGAAGCATTACCATTTAAGACAAGTTGCTCAGTAACATGCTGGAAAGCCATATATGGCAGATGCCATGGAATTTTAATCTTAATCATCTTAAAGATGAAACAAAATGTTTCTAAATGTATCTCTCATATTGAAGGGTTAAATGAGAAGACAACCATAGGAAAAGACTCCATAGCATTACAGTGTTCGAATATCATAACATTCATAACATGTAAACCAATCTTCGGTACTGTCATGCCATGTAGTCCGGTAGACCATTACATTTCGAACAAATGTGCAGCCTCCATTTTCGGGGTAGAGTTCCAAGTCTTAAAGCCAACAGTTTTTTTTAATGATATCCTTTCAAAATAAAAATAACGAGTCTTTAAAGTTTCTGATGACAAACTTTACCCAGTTTGAATATTTAATATATCAAACGATTATTCATAATTAACATACACTTCCTCCTCCTGGCAAATGCCAAGTTCCCAAGAAGATTTCATTACAATTTGGGAGATTCCCACCAACTGTGCATGAACATTTCATTTTGGTATGTATCAAACAGCACAAACACAACAACTCAGTTTCAAATATGAATTGTCACCTTCCATTCCTTTTTCTAAAATTGAAGATGTATTAGATTCAAAGTTTCCATATTTGAACCAGTTTAATGCATTCGGATACCATCTGTTGCTAGAACCAAAAATGTTGTGCTCTTAGATATTTTCTGAAGGAATAATGGTTACAAAATATCAGTAGCCAGGTATGATGTGTGTTATCATGTAATAGACCACAAAAGATGTTGTATGAAAGCTCCACGAATGCAGGCACCTAATAACTAACATACAATCATTTTATTTCAGTTGCTCACACATACAAGTAGGCCACTTAACATACTAAGGCATGCATTCAGTATTTAACTTCCTCACCATGGTAACAGTGCATTCAATCTTGTCCATGCTGTTCCCCTTTGCTGAAATTGAGTGGGCTATTTCAGGCTTTGTGATCTTCTTTTTCTGTACTTGTCAATGAGTTATTACTGTCTTTTGGGAATAGTTCATATTTCATTCACAATGTATTATTCATATTAGCACATTTACCCATCACCTATTTTACCACCTTATGCTTTCATCACAGCTTAATTATATATTACAATATTTAACATTCCCTCATGGAAAGTGGTTCAAATTTAAGTTTTAGGAAGGTAATAATGAATCTAAATATATGAGTTATTTACAGTGGAAACCCCATTATACATTACTCAATTTAAAATTTTCTTTCACTCAACTTACTCCTCAGGTAGCAAATGTGATACAATCACTGAAAATGATTTAGCACTGTGGCAGTCAACATAATATGTATTAACACAGTAATGAGAAGGTTAATCTACTCATTCCCAGTACATACGTTTTCTAGCCATAACTTCCCATAACCTCATTAACTAATAAATGTGAAAAATGTTTATTGTTATAGTTAATACCAAATGTCACAAAACTTGGTTATTAATATTTACTTATATGGCTGAGAAGTGACTGGAAGCTGTAGAAGTCCATTCACTTTTATAACATTTAAAGCTGATATGAAAAATTCTACAAAACAGAACTTTGAGCCTTAAAATTCTTCAAAATTCTCAAAGTCAAAATATAAGTAACAAATTCATACATAATATCACATCACACTTTGGCAGTCCAACAGAATGACATCCATGTAACATTAAAATCACAATATAATGAGTCTTATATTCTTCTAATGTGATAATTAACAAGGTTTAAAAATTACTTTTCATTTGATTATTAACTAAGGAACTTGGTATATATTATGGATTTGTTCACTCATGTCTCAATAAGAATGTAACAATTTCTTTAATATTAATGAAATCCTTCCCTACCAGTGAACTGTGGGCCAGTAAAGTTGATTTTCCAAGGCCTGTAACGATTCAATCTGGCCAATCCTTCAAGACTGATGTTTTATTAGACACATAATTCATAAAAACACATACACACATAAGGTGTGTTAAAGTAATGAGATTAATTTTGTAGTGTGAGAAACTGGAATACTGCAGTGCTGAGACCATTACAAGATGATAGCCACATCCCTCCTCTACCTTCAGCCCAAGTTTGACCTTCCTAGCATGAATACATATGATTCTGTGGTGATTCATGCAAATGTGTTTTGTTACAGCATCACAAAAATGGAGAATAATAATCTCGAGCACTGTTATGCAATCAAGTTTTGTGTCAAGCCGGGGGTGGGCACTACCAGTACCTATGAAAAGATTCAGGAAGTGTTTGGTAATGATTCTCTATCATGTGCTCAAATATTCTGGTGGCCCAAAGATTCTGTAAATGGGAGAGAAATGGTGAAAAATGAACTGCAATCTGAAGGCCCTGCCTCTATGAGATCAAGCACAAAAGTCAACCATGTGAGGGCTTACCTTTGTCAAAATCAACACTTGGTAATTTGAATTATCACTGATGAACTTAATATTAACGAATGCACATTCCACTAAATTGTTACACAAGATTTGAACTGAGAGTCGAAACAAAGTGTTGGCAAACATTTACTGATGCTACACAATTATGTAACTGTTTATGATAGTAATGTTATAATCACTGATTATGACTGTGTACACTGCTTTCAGTGACAATATTAATTTATATTATACCAAAGATATTAGTGTTTGATCCCTGCTACCCTTACTCCAAGGGATGTCAGAGCTTCCATGCAATGTTCCTTGGGATTAGCTCCAAGCTTTATGGTTGGGCTGTGCTAGCATCAGAAAAAGTGCATTAAAAATGAAATTATGTACACAATGGAGAAGTCAGCCAGTTTAAGACAGAGGAACATCTGTGCAGAAAATAACACACACCATGCATGGCTGATTACCATTGATCACGTCATCTTTTTTTCCTTGTATCCTATGCGATGCTCTTAAACATATAAATCTTGGATATGAGCTGCTGGTTACAGAAATGTAAATTTTATGGCTATTTTTTTTTTCAACATATAGTTTAAGGTCATTTTTTCATTTTGGGGGTAATTTTTTGGTAAATTTTTGGACTTTTAAGGGTATTTCTTGTCATTTTTGGCTATTTTAGTGAAGTTTTCTTCATGTTTTCTGAAATGTGAATAACAGGAAGCAAAGTGTTCTTTCTTTTCTCCTTTAGGTCATTTTTCTGGATTTTTTGGGGTCATTTTTTTTATATTTTCAGGTCATCAAAATTCGGTTCCTGCATATTACATTTTTCGGTCATATTTTAGGTCATTTTTCTGGATTTCTTTGGTCATTTTTTGAATATTTTCAGGTCATCAAAATTCGGGTCCTGCATATTACATTTTTCGGTCATATTTTAGGTCATTTTTCTGGATTTTTTCAGTCATTTTTTTAAATATTTTCAGGTCATCAAACTCCGGGCCCTGCTGATTACAGTATGTCAGAAGATGGTACCAAATGTATAATCCTTTACAACAGTTCCTGCTTCCCATCTTGTTCACAGAGGTTGACCCTCGAAGTCTTTGACAATCTACATTGCTTAGGCAGGTAGATGTGGCAAGGTGCAAAGCTATGAGATGTATCAGAAATCATTACAAAAACATGTCTTACTTGCGTCGATCATTCACTATCTTACGTGCAATACTACGTTCCATGTAACTTATTGCCTTTACAGGTTTAAAAGTTTATTAAGTTTCTGACTCGGGACAAGACACACAATTAAGAACACAACAGGGAGGAGCAAAACACACCAACAACAACAAACACACGCATCAGAGGGACCACATACACATCAGCAACAAGTGAAAGTAGCAATTTCCTTGTTAGACATATATTTACACCTGATGATGGCCATGTTGTAAAGGTGATAAGTTTTGTGGAATGTAGTACTGCACGTAAGATGGTGAATGATTGATGCAAGTGAAAAGTGCAAAAGGATACTACAAATACAATATTATAACTTGTCTTACTGTTCAATGCTGGTACAATAATTTAATTTCCTGTGCACTGTAGTGTTACTGCTGTTGCACCTAAGGATAACAGGAAGTTCTGCTATCTTTCTCACATACATAAAACGAAAATCTGCTGTATTTCCACCAACACAACATTCCTTTTCTTCTGATAAAATACCTCTCACAAAACTGACTGCTTTACATTTACACATTAAATTTATTTAGGACTTTACTAAAACCATCTATTACAAATGTTATTTTACTGAAATTAGTTTATCATCTCCTATACTGCAACAGCAATGGAAAAAACTCCTAATTTTTAATAAAGTTACATTGTTTCATGAATGTGCACACAATTCAACAAATTCTGTATAACTGATGGGTGGGGGTCTTCAATTTATACTTTCATAATTCACGAACTTGGATACATAAAATACTTTTTTAACCTCTGACATTCATAACAGTAACAAACATGGACTTATGTTCTTTAGTGGCTAGGTTGGGCATTTATTCTGAATACATTATGCATTCATACATAATTCTGAATATAATATCTATACAGTCAGTCAGTTAAGAGTCACAGCACCCTTCACTGTAGTGGAAAAGTTACATATGAACTCTTAATTATAATATTACTACATGATTTCTGTAACTAGAGCACCACCCTTCACTGATTTATAAAGGCAGAAAATTTTTATTTTCCAAAATGTTAATTGGAATGACATTTACAGCAGGAAAGTATACTTCTGCAGTTCACATAAAAACACTTCAGCCTGGAGATACTTGGCTAAATCATCAATTCTGGTTATTTAAAAAATGTATAAAATCCACAGAAAAAGATTATAACAATTTCCTCTTCATAGTTTACTTGATTTTCTCAACTATGCCAGCAATCATTTCAAAGCTTTTTGCCTTTTCATTACTACTGCATAAATACAAATTACATATCCCGGTAAGCTATGTGTGCTGATCAAATGAAGAAACGATACTACCACGGGAACACAATTTTCAATGCAATAACACGTTTTATTGAAAATTTTGAAGTGAACAGACTTAGAAGTAGAATACAAATTCTATCCAATTTTGAAAGTCACAATGAAAATTTGTTCCTTCATAACTTTTTCGTTTAACAACAGCCACAGGGCATGACCAATTGCCAAAAGGATTGGCTTCAAAGGCTGTAATCATACAGCTTCAAAGCCATTCTGACAGCTGCTACAGATTACTTTTGTACTACATTTAGAGTGTACACTTTTATAATGTAGTTAACAACTACTTCAAACGAAGGCTTTGTCAGATATTTCTTTGGACAAACTTTTAACTTGTGATGACAATATATTATGAAAGGAGAAGAATGTCCTAGTCTTTGTTTATCTCTGCTTGGGATATTTAACAGATCCATAAAATTAAACTAATTTATTCTGGTTTTCTGTTAAATAAATACAGACTGAATGCTATATCTTGCAGTAGGTATTTCTTGTGGTAAAAATACCTTCAATCCACAGACATGCAGAAATAGTCATCACGAAGAATAGTTGCACAACCTTGCTTTAGTTCTGAATTTTCCATTAATGAGTTCCTGCAAACTTCTTTTTTCCTCAGAGGTGGAGTGAGAGTCCTATAATGAACGATGATTCGGAGATAAGTGATCCTCAAGTCATCATTCACACGATATGAGAACGAGAGAAATGGTTTTAGAATTTTATATAGATTTTGTGATGTTGTTGAACAACCTTTTACCCCACCATGACTCCAAATCAAATGGTTTAAAATCTGAAACAAACAGAAATTAATCTGCTACAGTAAAAGCATAATTTTATGAACATCAAAGTGATAAAGATCTTCATACAGCAAAGAGAATTCTGGGTCCTTGCAAGGTACAATATATTTAAACATTATACTAGATTTACCTGTTAGAAATTCCCTGTTCTGTTTATATTTTAAGAAAGAATAAAAATGAACAATCTACTGACTCACATTTCTCTCCTATGGATTAGAAGATCATCTGTATGTGAATACACTTTTGTGATTTCTCTGGGAAATTTACCAACACAGAAAGCCTACACAAAGAATTATCAGTTTCCACAGATTATAAAGTTGATTCCAAATTGCATATGAGGCTCTCATCAGTCTTGACTGATTTCAATACTTTTGTTGGTAGGACAGTCAACTATACACTTTTGAAACTTTCATGCATTCTCAAGTTCAGATTAACAAAGACATCCTTACATGAGCATGAGAACTGTTCCTTTTTCTCAAACATTTCTCTCTCTCAATGGACCAAGGTTCCAAATTATAAGCTGTCAGCTCTCCAATTAGACCACAAAATACATATGAAACAAAAATTATGAAACTTCATATGACTGAAGATTAATATGTGCTGGAAGATGATGCCATGTAGCCTGGTAGAAGTTTATTAAAGACATTTCAGAGAAACAGGACTGAAGAATAAGATGAGTAAGCATTCAGCAAAAAGCTGCTTGTTGATTAAAAATTATATGAAACTGATATAAAGCAGATGGAATTCTCAATGTTCATACTGACATTCATTTCTACCAACTTAGTAATGCTATCACCAGACTGACATCCTTAATAGAGAACGCGTGAATGCTGTTTTATTACACAAAAATATGTTTCAGGATTACTGGGTTTCTGATTTTGTCCACCTTCCAGTATTCTAATGAATCTGTTGGGTCCATTATATTGAGTTAACTTCAGTCACTGGACCAGTGCCTGAGGTTAGATCTAGCCAAAACCCAGTAATCCAGAGTGTTATATATGCCCTTCACCAGAACCCATTAGAACCTAAAAATATGTTTGTATTATCATGTATTGGTCTAACTTAAACCACAAGGAAATCAGCCATAAGAAAATGCATAAAAACTTGCATTTCCCCCCAATAACATGAATAAGTGCAAGTTTCTCTGATAAAAGATCTGTCACACCAAATGTGACTATTATTTTGGATATTATTTATTCATCACTGAGTTTTTCTAACATTATATTTTAGAAGCTGGAATTGTTTCCATCGGGTCTAAGGGAGGAAAGGTCCCTAGGCCCAAGAGAGAGAGACAATCTCAGTTACTACAGCAAACAGACCTTACACCAGATGACAGAAACAAACAGTTTCCAAAAGTTGTGTTCTAAAAAACCCTAGAAAATCAACAATGTCCAACATAATAGTCATGCTTCTGATGCATCACTGTATTCAATATCGTGTTTTTCTTACCATCAAGTCCAAAATCTAATGAATGGGTAAGATTGCAGTAGAAAGTCCAATTCTGCTTAAACAAAATCATTTAAGAGCCGAAATGGAGTACAAATGTACTTCCTATGTTCTGCATACAAAGTATTAAACATATCTGTAATTTGCGATCAATATATATTACCTTGCAGTATTCCATTTGGTTCACCATCATTGTGGTACACTATGCAGTGTGGTGCATCTGAAATAATACATAACAAATGAACATAAACTTCACCTTCAGGGAGCACAAGATTTTAATTAGCTCAACAGTACAGGATCAACCTTGAGCAGTTCATAGTTATTTAATCTGTCATGAAATTATCTGGTTAAGGGACCTAAAGACTCTTCACTATATTCAGTGATTCACACAACTAACCTAATATTGAAGTATATTTTCTTCTGGGATGTGACACCACGTAATCTGGTATAACTTCACTCACATTTGAGAGGAACAATGGTATACTTCTACCAGACTACAAAGTGCCATATCTCAGAAGACAGCTATCCCTGTAAGAGGCCCATAGGGTTGTAAGACGATGATTTCACATTTCCTCTAGACAGTCAGCTCACATTTGGCGGCAAGGTTGTCAGCCTTACCCACCAGCTGCACTTTGACCCCAGGAAGATTCCTGGTACTCATTTCAGTTAGAGGCTGAGTCGAACCCAGGGCCATAGTGCAGCTGGAAGGATTATGTTACCTAAAAAAATAACACATCATTGGGACTCAAATCCGTGACCTTCCAGCTTGTAGCATAGTGCCTCAACCAACAATGCTACGGCATGCCTCCATAGTCACCTCTGTCAGAACGTAAAATCTCTAGCCTACTATTGTCAAGTAGACAAATTACTGACCTCACTATGGGCTGAATATGGAGTTCAGGAAGGGCAGTGCAGATATATATGCGTAACTTTGGTTAGGAAACTTCTCAGGAAGATATCTGGACCTATTAAAGATTGGATATTAATAAGGGAGAACTCTGTGATTTATGTACCTCACCTAGAACTGCTAATGTAGACAACTATATAGAATTGTTATAGTCTGGACACATAGCCCAGTTCACTCACTCACTCATGAAGCTGCCAATTGTGAAGCTACTCAAGAACTTCCCAGCATTTCATGGAACCCGAAGGTGCATTACTGTGTTCACAATAGCCCTCCACTTGTCCCTATCCTCAGCCAGACCGATCCAGTTCATACCACCCCATCAGATCCATCATAACATTGTTCATCCACCTACGTCTTGCTCTTCCTAGTGGTCTCTTTCCTTCTGGCTTTCCCACCAATATCCTACATGCATTCCTCTTTTCCCCATTTCTGCTTATGTCCTGCCCATCTCATCATCCTTGATTTGATCATTCTAATTATACTTGGAGAAGAGTACAAGTTATGAAGTTCTTCATTATGCAGTTTCCTCCAACCTCCCATCAATTCATTTCTCTTAAGTCCAAGTATTCTCCTCAACACCCTCAGTCTGTGTTCCTCCCTTAATATCAGAGACCAAGTTTCACACCCATACAAAACCACAAGCAAATTATAATTTTGTATATTCTAATTTTTATATTTTTAGACAGCAGACGAGAAGACAAAAGGTTCTGGACTGAATGGTAACAAGCATTACCTGAATTTAATCTCCCCTTAATTCCTTCTTGAATCAGGTTTTGATTTGTCATAGTCCATCCAAGTCCAAGGATTCTTTTGGTCTTTCATAACAAGCTTATTTTTTACAGTGAATTGTTGTTAGCCCCATGCCCAACCCCCAAGCTGGACCATCACTTGTCGGCCATCCACAACTGCTTATTCAACATATTCATGGCTGCCCTCCATATATGGAGGCTGTCTCCTCCATCTGCAACCTGAGGACACACCATGCCATGGTGACAAGAGACCCACCTAACATGGGCACAGCTCAGATACGGGAAGTGATGCATGCAGAATTTTAGTGGGCAAACTTAATGGAAGGAGGCAAAGATGAAGACTAAGAAGATGGAATGATAATATTATGATGGATCCTATGAAAACAGTGGAGGTGAAAAGAACAGCTTAGACCATGTCCCACAATAAGCTATGGTATTAGCAGCGCTGACTTGCTTCAGGTTCTGCCATCAGACATATAATTCCTTAATATCATAATGATAAGAAAACAATGAACAAACACTGCTGAATATCAGACGTGGGGTAGTAAATCTTTCTGCACTATCTCTAGCTTCATCCCTCCAACATGTTACTTGCACCTATGAATAGTGCTTCTGAGGAGTACAAGCGGGGAGGTAGCTATTTGCATCTGCCCATGTGGCCATCCATGCAGTCACAGCCTGGGCACCAAGCCAAGCAATAGTGAACTGCCTTATAATAGAAAAGGAACTGAAGCTCAACTGTTTTCCTGTCATTAACATTACAAATGAAGAAGAAAAATGAGGTGAAATGCAAATGTAAAGCAAACTGATAAAGGTCATGCTCGCCAAGAGACAAAACCTGTCACTTTGTACTACCTGGGTTAAAGATTATTTACATCGTTCTAACTTGCTTACAGTGCAATTTGAAGTCACTGGTCTTGCAGTCCTTCCTACTGAACTACAGGTTAATTAGCATGCATGCAAATTTATTCATGAGGCCAAGGGTTCTCAAACTTCATGTTACCATGACCCCCTTAAATAATATATAAATTTCTGTGGCCCACCATCGTTGCTGGTCAGCAAAAGGTAGTTCTGCGCATTGCTGCAGTCTCTATCATACTGCATGGTGAAAGCAGGAACCCGAATACCTTCCCCACACTCAAAGTAGAAGAGCTGGAATAGCGACTGGCTGAATGAGGGGTCAGAGTTTGAGTCCCAGTGGGGTCAAACATTTTCACTTTTCCATGCCATCCAAATTGGGCTCTGGGGCCCACCCAGCCTCCTATCCAATGGGTACCAGGAGCTCTTTCCCTGGGGGTAAAGCAGCCAGGATGTGAAGCTGATCACTAACCTCCAACCAGTGCCAAAATCAAGAAAAGTGGATCAATATATTCACTTCCCCATATGTCCTTACTTAATTAGTTAAGCACAGTGATAGCTTTAACTTTAACAATTTTACACTCACAGCAGGCCATAAAATGTTCCTGTATAGTCGTGAAAAATGCAATTCTGATTTGAACCAGTTGCCTGCTGAATACAAATAAAAAGTATCACCGCTTAAGGCAAAAGTATGCCCAGTTCCATGATATGTACAAACCACATACATGACTGAATGCAGCATGCGAAAAGAGGTTATTCCTAATAAAGAAAACTGTGTACATGTAAGAAAACATAGAAATCAAGGACATAATAATCAGGGTATCCATAGTGTAAACTTAATGTTTTTAAAAAAAATATTGTCTTTTGGAATGTGACACTGTGTAGTCTGGTATGTTTACCTACATTTCAGAGGACCATACTACCTGGATCTTCAGGTTCAAAGTTTAAGCTAACCCAATGAGGAAGCAACAAGATACCTGCTTTGCCTGCTCTGACCCTAAAGATGGCAGTACATTTTTACCAGCGTACATGACATCACATCCCAAAAGACGGTACTAAACTAATCTAAAGTCTTGGATCACACCACGAATAATAATTTCTTGTAAACATAAAAGAGATTTATAGACACAATTACAGAATAATAATAATAATCCCATCGCTACTGCCCATTACAAAAAGTATTCTAAATTACTGAAGATGGTTATAAAAGGAGCAAAACAAATGGAATATGACAAATTAATTCTAAATTCCCATAATAAAATCAAAACTACATGGAATATTATTAACACTGAATCTTGAAGAAATAAAAATAGAAATGATATACNTTTTGTGCCGAAACATTTAGTGCGAGTGAGAAGAGGGGATAGATGAATGTATGCACTAGAAGACGGATAAAATAAATCATGGACTTAAATCAGTGCAACAGGACGCTAAAATATAACATTAGATATACAAGCTTTAAACATAGAAGGTAAGAAAATCATTGATCAACAATCTATTTCTGAAACTTTTAATGAGTATTTCGTCACTATCACTGGAAAAATTAGAAGACAAATTAGAAATACTCATAGGCACATTAATAATAATGATGTGGACAATCATATTCATTTCATCAATCAAGCGTTTGACAACCCTTTCCCTAATATTGAATGTAAATATACTACAATAAAAGAAATTGAACAAATTGTAAAATCTTTTAAAACAAAAAACTCGTAGGGTTATGATGAAATATCTACAAAAATTTTGAAACTAAGTACCCCTTTCATATGTTCTCCACTAAATTATATATATGAAATAAAATGCTATTTCAGGGTGTGTTCCCGGATAGATTAAAATATGAAATCATAAAACCACTACATAAGAATGGTGACAGATGTGATATGTCTTAATTATAGACCTGTATCACTCTTTAACATCATTCTCTAAGATATCTGAAATAGCTATGCAGACAAGGATTCTAATATATCTTACTAAATATAACATACTAAGTAAGGAACAATATGGCTTCATAACAAGATTGAAGAGAGATGACACAATCTATAAAGTAACAACTGAGATTTTAAATTCTATGAACAGCAAATTATTAGTGGGAGGGATCTTCTGTGACTTGGAGAAAGCATTTGATTGTGTTGATCATGGATTTTATTATCTAAATTGAAATTTTATGGAATTAATGGCAGGCATCTTGCATTGTATCAATATTACCTGGATAATAGATATCTAAGAACTTTGATTAATAATAACAGTGACAATAAAGTTTCAAGTTGGAACAAAATTAATCATAGAGTCCCACAGGAGAGTGTTCTGGGACCTCTACTCTTTCTTATTTATATGAACGACTTACCTAAACTAATAAACAAAACTTCTGTACCTGTACTTTTTGCGGATGATGCTAGTATTTTATTTGCTCAGCCTAATCTAACAGATTTAAATAACAACATTCATAGCATTTTTGAAGCTTTAACAAGACACATTATATTCACTTTTAATGAAGAAAAATATATCTGCCAATTTAAATATGTTATAATAATAATTTTGTAACCAGTACTTCCTGTACAAAATTCCTAGGGATGATAATGAATGAAACTTTGTCTTGGGATAATCATACTGAAGCACTTGCAAAAAAATTGAGCAAGGCTTGTTATATAATTAGAAGCACCAAAACATACATGTCTACCTCATCATTAAAAATAATTTATTATGCTTTCTTTCACTCGGTGATGAGCTACGGAAACATATTTTGGGGTAATTCCCCATATAGCGCCACAATTTTTCATTTACAGAAAAAAGCTATTAGAATTATGGAAGGATGTGGGAATAGGGTTTTGTGTAGAGACTTATTTCAGAATCTACATATTTTGCCTTTGACATCTCAATATTTTTTGTCCTTATTGATGTTTGTAGTTCAAAATAAAGACCTTTTTATAACAAGCACTAAAAGTCACAACCTAGAAACTAGAAAAAGTAATAATTCATATATTCCACAGGCAAACTTATCCATTTATCAAAAAGGAGATCATTATTTGGGGATAAATATCTTTAAACAATTTTTTCCCTGTGGCGCTACAGCCCCAATTTGGGCCTAGGTCTACCTCCATGAAACTCTCCATTTCACTTCAGTTTACTAGATCTTAAACATTCGGTAGGACTCCTTGGGCGGGTGATCAGCTCGTCGCAAGGCCTCTACCTGTCCATAAACACAGAAAAACGCACATGACACTAAACATCCATGCCCTGAGTAGGATTCGAACCCACAATCCCGGTTTCCGAGCGAGCGAAGACAGTGCATGCCTTAGACCGCTCGGCTACCGTGACTGGCATCTTTAACCAATTACCCTTTCATATTAAGAATGTAAATGGTAACATAGTTAAATTCAAAACCACTTTAAAAAAATTTTTATACACGAATTCATTCTACTCATTAGAAGAGTACTTTGATCAATAATGAGGGGAGTTATAATAAACATATCTGAATGTAAATTTTATGGCTCACTTGTGTATTATATTTGTAATTTATGATTTTTTGTTCATTGTAAATTCATTTTATAATGCCTGTTTTGTTATAATTATGAGTTCTACCTGTGCATTGCCAATTAATCTTATTTTCAGAAATCTGAAGGATTTTTTACTATTTATTATTTGTTTATTGTGGATTTCTTATTTAATATGACAGTTCTTAAATGACATGTTTCTGACTTTTTATTTATGCAATCTAAGGTATTAACTATTTATATTTTATATTGTTGTAATGTTCCATGTAAACAACTTTTGAAATTGGTTTGTATGTACTAAGTGAGGACAAGTTTTGTATCCATCTTACCTGTGTCTGGAATACTGAATAAATACTAATACTAATACTAATACTAATACTTTTCATAGTCAGTGCTGTGGAAACCTAAGTTTCACATGATTATACTTACTTTGACTGTTCTCTGATGGCTCTTGTTCGAATTCCTTACAAACTTCATCCCAAGCTAGAAAAAAGTGAACTCATCAATAAAATAGGCAAAGGTAGATGCTTCCTTCAACTGTGGACAAACACAGAATTACATTAATACACAGTATATCCGTCAATCACAACTTTCACCACTTGACAAATATTTTAATTATATTTATATATATAAAACACTGAGTACTTGTGTGTGTGTGTGTATATATACATATGTATTGTTTGTACTTACATGACAGGACCAACAGCAATGTATCCAATGAGCAAGCAGTTTAGTAACGATAAATGAAACAATTTTTTATTTTGGAACACCTGATGATGGTCAAAAGACTGAAGCATGTGGCATGATAACATTTCAATAAACATAAACAGTGAAAACAAAGTTGCGATTGATGGACATTCTATTTATTATATATTAGTAATACACACAACAGGATGCCTAACTTATGAATAAAAATACAATAACATTAAATTACAAACAGTTTGTCTTAAAAAGCAAGGGCAGGAATACTAACAAATTAATCATTGTATCTAAGATAGTGTAATCAGTATAGAGACTGCCCCTGGGCTGGACGACTAAGGGGTTGGAGTTTGAGTCCCGATAGGGTCAAGAATTTTCTCCTTCCCATGTCATCCAGACTGGCTCTAGGGTCCATCCAACCTCCTATCCAATGGGTACCACGGACTATTTCCTGGGAGGTAAAGCGGGTGGGTAGTGAAGCTGACCACTCACTTCCAGCTAATGCTGAGGTCAAGAAAATGTGGATCTATACAGCCACTCCCCCATACATCTTCTTGGCATGGGGCTTAATTAGTTAAGCACGGGGACAAATTCACCTTTATTTGACAAGTAGACTATGGTTTCATACTTTCAATTAAATGTATAATAACACAGGTCCAGTTTCCAGATGGCAGCTAAATAAACAAGAAATAGGCTGTAGCTAACTAAATGATAAGCTACAATGCATATAGTAACATGATGTTTGGGCATGCATAACATCAGCTCCTGAGAGGTAAAGGTAAGGTAAAGCTATCCCTGTAACAGGCCGTAAAGGCACATAGGATTGTGAGATGGTGAGGATCCCACATTATCTAGACAATCGGCTCACAGAGGGCAGTAAGTTTGTCAGCCTTACTCGCTGGACGCCCTTTACCCCCCAGGAAGATCTTTGTGAAAGTCAGGCTCAAAGGGCACTGGTGAATATTGCTAAATCTATTGATAGAGTGTGGTGATGCAGCATGTTATGTAAACAGAGCCAGTCAATCTAATCTACAACCTCACTTCCGGTCTCTAGTCTTAATCGCATGCATCAATGTTCCATCTCAATGTGTCACTGCTTTTTAGTTTGTATACTCTGAATTTACAGTGAAGATAATGAGAAAATGTGGGATCCGATGAATCAAGACTGGGTGAATAACAACTACTCAAAGAACAAACTGAGGCAAGCACAAAAATAAAATAGAACTGATAAAAGTAAAAAGTAAAGGTAAAGCTATCCCTGTAAAAAACTGTGGAGGACCATAGCACTGTGAGATGTTGAGGCTCCCACATTTTCTAGACAATTGGCTCAGAGATGGCAGTGACATTGTCAGCCTTATGCACTGGCCACCCTTTCCCCCAGGAAGATTCCTGGTACTCATTTCTGTTAAGAGGCTGAGTCGACTCAAGGGCCATAGTGCGGCTGGAAGGATTAGGTAAATTGAAAAAATCCACCTCATCAGGATTCAATCCCACAACTTTCCGGCTTGTAGCACAGTGCCTCAACCAACTATGCTACCGTGTACCCACAAAGAGAACTGATAGAGACAAATGAAATATAACATAAAACATACTAAAATGACAATTACTTATTAGAAGTATCCTATATATAACTTGTTCAAAGGTTTCATTATTGCAAAAAGTAGAGTACGATCTTCGGTGAGTGTCCTTCAATTAGGGATTACATTTCTAATGCTTCAACCAACTTCTACCAATGCTAAATTATTTCCATTTACGGTTCACTTTTCGACACAGAAGGCTTCCAGGAACCAACCTGGGCTTACCACTTCACTGCAACACTTTGTGCTTTCTGACACAGTAAAACCCCCTCCTAACAGCATGTCAAACATTCATCACTTCCTGGCATATTTCCATTTCATGCAAGTAGTTACTTCTAAACAAAATGCATAATATGAATGTGTAATAGTGATGTCACATCCATCTATACAAGTGTTTCATGCCTCAAACTAGTGAATGGATTCTGATGATATTAATAATTACACTTTTTAACAGCATGGAATCTTTTCATTAGCCCATCTTTTGTATTTCATAGTCTGCCACTGAGTAATTTGTAACAGAGTACTGGTTATGCAGAAAACAGCTACTGCACTACAACTGGTAAATTGTAAATAGTGAGGCACAGGTTCTCTGCAAAAGTTTCAAACTGTGTGAAGGTCACTGTATCATTTACATTACATTCAATCTTTTGAAACTCTGGTCAAAATGCAGTGTCATTCAGAATCCCAATCATGCTACATTCAACATGTTTTGATCCCATGGCACTCCTTGTTGAATATGTTAGAGGACACAAAACCATATGCCGCACTTTCTCCCACGATACTTGCTTACCAATATTCACCAGGAGAAACCTGAGTATTTCACACAGAAACGTTCGGAGGGGGCTAGAAATTGGTAAAATATTCATTCATATTTCTGAGTTTACATGTAACATGAACATATTTAACTCACATTCATAAATGAAGTTGATAAGTTCCGCGTGCTGGGGGGTGATTACCTTCTGCTGGGCTCTCAGACTACTCGATTTCTTACCATTTACAATATGAAATACTGGCTTTGGCACACTATAGGAAAGAAGAAAATATTATTTGATAAAAGTATCTTTGATTTTCTTTCTTGAAACCGCATGACTTCGCAATTTTGTACCAGGACCAAGGTTTATAATCAATTCTATGGTCCTTACATAACATTCTTAATTACACTAACTGCATTGTTAAATCAGTGGTTAACACAACACTGTACCACACATGCTTACATGCACATATTGCAAGTTAAAAGGTCCGTTACTTATATATCCACTTACTTCGTAACCTGTCCCGGTTCTGGTTCAAGAGTTTTTTTTGTAAGTTGATCACGGAAAGTTTCCAACCTTTCTAGATTCTGCGTGTGTGCGATCCCTGAACATTTTATTGAAATGTCATTACAACCAGAAAATAATTACTCGTACAAGAAATATAAACTTACTTCAAAAGATTTACACAAAAACGTTCTTAACGTACCTCTTCTCGTTTTAGCAACGATTTTACTCGGTCCTTTCGACACAGTATACATTTTTCTGCGGGGTCTCGCCACAAACTGCGTGCGGTTATATACTCCATTCGGTTCAATTCGGTCCATCCCGTCCGATCCCGTCATTTACACTGCATTGTGGGTGGAGCTATATACACACACACAGTGGCTACCGGCTAGTCTTGGTTCAGTTGGAATATAAAATAAAAAAGCCTGAATATTGTATTCAAAAAGGCTTACGAGATATATATGATTGTTAATATGGAATAATAACACAATCATATAAACTATCTACATAACAAATCACCCACGATAACGTTAGAGCAATTAAATAAGAGTTAATCAGAAATATTAATGAACCACATAATTTCGTGGCACTGCTGGTGTAGTGGTATCATGCAAGATTCCCATTCTTGCGACCCGGGTTCGATTCCCGGGCAGTGCACTTTTTATTTTTTTACAAGCAAGTGTTACACATTTTAATGTCCCTAGTGGCGTAATGTTTGCACTAATAACCAGTTCTGAATACTGCACATTAATATAATAAATTATGTAATATTGCAATCTTTTTTATGTAACACCAAATACTTTTACAGATAGGTACCAAGGGATGAAATTACTGCCTCCATCACCAGGGTATATTCGAACTGAAGACTGAGACACAATGTTCTTCCAAAATGTTATTATCTAAATATATCGTGCAACAAACCCGCTAGAGCATAAGCGTAACAATTACTGCTATGAGATTCGAAAATTAGAATTACCTCCCTAAATCTTGTCTCTTTAAAAGTTATACAGTTCATCAAGATATTCTCTTCCTTATGGAAACAAATGTTCAATATGAGAAGTGAGAAGGAGAGTCAGTATTCAAAACAGAAACATTTCTTTTGTATTGTCATCCTTTACTCCCTTTCTTCCTTTCCTTTTATTAAAACAGTCAATGTACACATTAATTCTTCGTGTATCACAGTTCTGCTAGCACCTGCATATACGAAAACTACACATTTCTATGGAACTGGCTTGAGAATGACACATCATATTCACACAGTCAGTCGTAAACTAACAAATATGTACATTAAAAAACAAAATTATTTTGTTCCTTCATTACAAGCATGGTATTATCTGTATTAAATGATCAAGACCAAAGGCTATGGAGATTTCAAACAAACACAATTAGAAAGTATGCATATTACAAATGGGTAGAGCTTCACATTTTTGTTAAACTAAAGGACAAAGAGAATTGCTACATTTTGATGCTCCTATTCAAAGCCACATGCAGAGAATATCTACAGATACAATTCCTTTTTCTATCCTTCCCCTCATAATATTAGGAGATTATAAAACAATAATTTTCTTACTAGCTAAAACACGAACAACTAAACAAATTAGGTCAAACGTGTTTATAATTAATTTTAAATTTAGTTTTTGTTACTTTTTAATTTCATTTTGAAAATAAATCATAACATTGATTCTATTCATTGATTCTGATTCTATAATTCAGCATCCCGTTGCAATTGTTCACATTAGCGTCCATTTGTCTATATCCGTCTAAAATGCAACACTTGTTTTACACTTCAATATATTCTTTAACACTTAACACTACATGTTTTGGTCTCAAAGGGCCATCTTCAGGTGTTTTATTACAGATGCTCAATCAAGACCTTGTTAAAACTGCTACACTGTTTCGCTGTTCCAATTCATTTTAAAAACTACACGTTGCAGTCCTCCTTTAATTAAACGAGATAAAATTCTTTTGTAATTTGTTATTTCACTTCACTCAAGGTGTCGTTACTTCCGTAAAATATATTAAAATGTTTTCCCCGGCAGCTTGTTCGTCAAGTTAGTTATCTGTAATTTATAAATTCCTATATTACTGTTGTTTTCTATTTGTCATTATCATTAGTATTATTATTATGTTGTGTTTGTTACTTTTTGTACTCACTTGCACCTGGTTTTCGTTTCCCCTTCAACGTGTGGTGTTGTCTTTACTAGTTCCGATGCGGTGTAATTGTTCCTGTATTTATATGTACTGGTTGTGAGGAGTGGGGAGAGATGGGGGGGTATAATGTTTTGTTCATTTGATATAGAGAATATGTATGCAAACATATCGAAAATGGGTATTAAATACATAATAAATAAAACACTAGAAGATCTAGGAACTGAAACGAATATACAAAAAGAAATCATGATAATGTTAAGTACAGTAATTGAACAAAATTATTTCCAATTAGACCAAGAATATTGCAAACAGAGAGACTAGCAATGGGAGCACCAACATTACCAATATTGGCAGAAACATACATACAACATATGGAGCACACACAAATATATTCCATCCTAATAAAGCACCAAATAATTGCATATTTTAGATACATTGATGACATATTGATAACATATGATCAAAATAAAACAAATATTGATCACACACTTAATGAGTTCAACAAAGCACAACCAACTATAAATTTTACCATGGAGAAAGGGTATCAGTCTATCAGTTTCCTAGATCTAGTAATACATAGAAATGACAAAAACCTTGAATTTGCAATATATCGAAAACCCATGCAAACTGACATTATAATACCAAACAGTTCATGCCACCGACATGAACACAAAAGATGAGGCATAAATTATTTAATAAATCGATTATATACATACCCAATAACGAAAAAAGCAAAAGACATAAAAATGAACACAGTTCAAAATATTGACAGGTATTGGGAGTATAACGCGACATATAACTTCACGCCGTATTTGATATAGCGAATTTTATTTCACATTCGCACTTACAATCACCCAAATTACAGATTCACAATTACTGCTATCTGCAGTATCACAAATACTACACTCCAAATGCCAGAATGCAACTGACTGGTTGCTGGCTAACTCGGAACTCTCTCAGAACTAACTCGTAGGTAGCTGCCTTGAGAACTGTTGATAACACACTCGCTCGACTACTACTTAACTCGGCGGCTGTCACATTACAACTAACTCGTAGCTGCTGTGCAGTTCCCTTATATAGCCGCAGTGCTTGCCTGTTGCGTGCCACGTCACAGTAGGAAGCGGTGCCGCGTCACCGTGTTTGCGTATAACCTAGCAACGCTGTTACCTCACGCCGTCTTACGTCACCGCGCATTGCGCGTTACGTTACCGTTCCGGGGGGAGGAAGGGGAGCGCTGACTCATCCGCCACGTCACTGTGGCCTGAGTTGCCACGTTGCTGCTGGGTAGGGAGGGGTTCTCCGTTGCGCAACATGTCACAATATTGTACCCTCAGGACCAAATCACTCAATCGCTGTGTCTTATGTCTTGGTTGAATTTTGACTGAAGTAGATGTACATCTGTGTAGGTTACTAGTGAATTAGGCATTGGTCATTATTATGATCTGTTGACAAGTAAGAGAAAGGTTAGGTACTTCTGACGAAGTTTGCATTTATAGACAGCCAACAGCTTTTCTTGTAGACAGCAGTAACGCTTATTTAATGTTTTTTTTAAGTAAAAGTTAGTATCTTGGTGTAAATGTAGCTGTTGTTACAGAAGAAATCAAAGCAAATCCAGGCATATTACATTCACCGTACGCAACCAGATCTGTCCGACAGTGCAAATGGGCAATTTTGGTCTTGCCAAGAAAACTGAAGTGAAATACCTGGGTAAGCATCTCGATAGAAGACTGACATGAGCAAAGCACACCAAATCCAAAAGAAAACAGCTCAAACTAAAAGCGAAACAAATGCACTGGCTACTCAGAAGAAGATCAACACTATCAATAGAAAGCAAACTCCTCCTGTACAAATCAGTACTTAAACTCGTATGGACCTATGGAACTCAGCTGTGGGGTGCATCTTCCAATTCCAACATCGAAATTCTCCAGTGCTTTCAATCCAAGACTCTCCGATTCATTCTGAACACACCTTCGAGCATAAACAGCCACAGGATCCATGAAGATCTACAAATGAACACTTACAATAGGCCTGTTACGTAGCCACGGTGTTACCTCACGCCGTCTTACGTCACCGCGCGTTGCACGTTACGTTACCTTGCGGCGGGGGGAGGGGAGCGCTGACTCATCAGCCACGTCACTGTGGCCTGAGTTGCCACGTTGCTGCTGGGTAGGGAGGGGTTCTCCTTTGCGCAACATCTCACAATATTGTACCCTCAGGACCAAATCACTCAATCGCTGTCTCTTATGTTTTGGTTGAATTTTGACTGAACTAGATGTACATCTGTGTCTCCAGCGCTTTCAATCCAAGACTCTCCGATTCATTCTGAACGCACCTTGGTGCATAAACAACCACACGATCCATGAAGATCTACAAATGAACACAGTGTTCTGTGAAATAAAGAAAGTGGAATACCAAATACTTAAGAAAATTAGAACACCACACTAATGCACTAGCAGTGAAACTACTAGACAGTAACGAAGCTACGCATAGACTGAAAAGATACGCCGCCCTAACTCTACCAGACAGACCTGAGTAAAACCCCAATACAAGAATTAAAATGATACCTAAGGGAACAGAAAGAGAAACGGGTATGAGTTACGCTACTGGGAGGGCCGTGCCAGAGCTCAAACGGTTAGTCGCTGGCTTCCCACCGCGGCGGTCCGGGTTCGATCCCGGGTCTGGTCATGTGGGATTTGTGGTGGACAAAGTGGCGCTGGGGCGGGTTTTCTCCGAGTACTTCGGTTTCCCCTGCAAATTCTCATTCCACCAACTTCTCCATCATTATAATCACCCGGGGTAGGCTACAGTAGGCCAATCAATGGCCGCTGTGCCGAGTGGACCCAGTTGAACTCCACCCCCCACTAAACAAATTTAATTTTAATTTAGTACGCCACTGGGCTTAATTCATTCATTGAGCATATATTTTTTGCAGATTCTGTATAANTTTTTTAGATTGTCATTTATAGTATTATATTAACACTTGTGTGGTAGTAGTGATGGTAGGAGTAGCAGTAGTAGTAAATCAATGGCGCTAAGCATCATTTCTTATTAGATTTGTCGTTTAAGCCTCTGTGACGGTTCCTAAACTCTGCCTGGATAGCGCAGTCTGGGTAGCAATTGGCTACAGGCTCGAAACCCGAGGGGTCGTAGTTCGAGTAGGGGCAAGATTTTCTCCTC